ATAGTATCATGAATGTGTTGTTTAGTTACTTTTAGGCATGAATGACAACGAATTATTCTTTCAAAAAGGATAACTTTCGGCGGGTTATCACGGGATATGCTAACCAAATTTGACCTGACACGTCTTACCTCGAACTCCACTGTCCGGCGCCACATGGTCTCTGCTTGCATGGCATGACATGTAGGAGAGTAAAAAATTAAAAACGAAAGGGATCAAAACTTCTTTCACAATTGTTTCATTTCATAATCCAATTCATCTATTTCTTATCGAGATTGAATTTCGTTGATATCCATTCACCAACCCCCTTCATTTTATTATACACCTGTTCAATAACTTCACGTCTCATCCTCATGAAAACCTTTCCAACATCATGACCCTCAAACCAAACCTGAAAGTTGACCGATAACCATCAAATCTCAACTGAAGAAGATTCATTAGATAAAAAAATATATCCATTATCAGGAAAACCCTTCCTCGCCACCGACAAAACCTCCTCCATTACCCCTTTTTCAACGCCTTCGGCATTCGGCGGTCAATATGTCACTAAACGGTAGTCGTTCGGTTCTTAACCGATGGAAGAACAAACGTACTCAATCTACCATTTCCGCACCACCTGGAACGGCGGGTGTGGGTAGACCGACCACGTCCGGCGGATTGAATTCTTGGACAGAGTACACGCCAAGCTCCGAAGAACCATTTCAAAAGGCTGTCGAAGAAGCTGTCCTGAATGCTCTCAATAGCGATGCTTTCAGAAATGTCATTGCATCTCAAATCGATCCCGTGACCGCTGCTCTTTCTCGGCAGCAAGAGAAGTTGAACGCTTTAAAGGCTACAACATTGAATCTTGAATCATCATTAAGTTCCTCAAACATCAAAGATACTTTGGATCCGGCTCTAAAGCCAATCAGTCAATTGATTGATGATGTTCCAGACACCGAGGACGAAATTGAATCTCTGGTGGAAGGTCAAAAGAAGATCTTGGAGATTCTGAAGTCATTAGAGGAGCGATTAAGTGGAATCGATACGAAGTTTGAGGAGTTTGAGGAGAAGATAACGAGCCTTGATGGAGAGATTGTAAATGCAGACTTGAGATCTGCTATTCGGTTCGGAGAACTTTCTAATGAACTTCAAGACCGAAACAAGATGCTCGGGGAGAGGTTATGGTCAGTGGAAGGGGATTTGGGTAAGAAGATTGACGGTAGTCACCGTAAATTGATAGGAATGGTTGAGGATCTAGGAAAGTCCAGTCGAAATGTCATCAACAAGGTTTCTTCCATGGAATTCGATTCATCATCCTCGAACTCTAGTAAGCTCGATGAGATGTTGAATGAAAACTCCCAGATGGTTGATAGGATGGAAAGTCTGAAGAAGAGTGTAACAAAGCTGGAAGAATCCCAGAAGAATATCCAAACAACTGAGAAGGGATTGGCTCGTAACATCCAAGAGGTCCGCGATATTGTCTCGTCCCTCAACACATCATCACTGGAACACCACTCGAAGAGATTAGATGACATCGAAAGAAGCATAATCACTGTTCGAAAGGAATTGGAAGGCCAGGGACATTTGGCATCTATCGACTCGAAGTTATTATCTACAAACACATCTCGTCTCAGCAATATCATCGAGCAGGTGACCAAGATTAACGAAGTGGTCGAATCCGTCAATGAACATATCTCGGCGAATGACCAATCCATACACGTCGCCAACTCGGAGAGATTGGATAACCTTACCTCCACAACAACAACAGTGAAAGAGACTATCGATAGAGTCGAGCAACACGTGAGAACATTGAACACATCTCAATTCGATGCTCACAGAGACAAGCTCACCATGATCGCATCAATGATGACTAGTTTCGCTGAATCAATGGCCGGTATCCAAGATGGTGTCTCGAAGACAACTTCAGCTCTTCTCCCAAGCAATGAAGTCGCCAAATTTGATGACTTGGTTAATCGACTATCGGATATGCGGGCAGAATTAGATGCAAGACTTGAGGCTCAAAGCAACTCTCTTGAAGATATTCACAAGCAGACTGTGTTGCCCATAGACACCAAGAAATTGGACGATATTGCAACTATGCTCAACAACCTCCAACCTGATTCTTTGTCCACCCTCTTGGCCTCTCATACTGATAAGCTTGATACTATTTCTAACGATCTCTCGACGTTCCATTCCGGTACCGAATCTACCCTGAAGACCATCACAGTCAGCCTAGAGACTATCGATCAGCACGTTGAGAATGGAACAGCTGCTGGACGCGAAAGTGCCCAGGGCTTGCATTCACAACTCGAAAGATTTGGAGCATCTCTAGACAATCAAGATGTTGTCCTGAGAGACATCAAGCAGAGCGGCGTCAACAACGAAGTCCTAGGAGCTATCGAACATGTTAAATCTTCAATGGAGCAGGACAAACGAAGCGATGAGATTCTTGGACAACTCATGATCATGAAGGAACTCGTCGACTCCGTCAAAGCTGATAACAGAAAGAGCGAAATGATTCAGGACCTTGCAGCCTTGAAGAATGTCGTGGATTCTATTAAAGACGGAAGCAAAGATGATGAAATCATGGAAGCGATCAAGAATCTAGATACTTCTTTAGCCTCATCAGGTTCAGACTACAAATCAGGAGAGACCTTGCAATCGCTGTCTCAATCAATCGGGGCTGTCCATACCGACGTTTTGGAAATCAAGGATGCCAGCATCGGAAAAACATTGGGTGAAATACTCGCCATTAGACAACACCTCAAGGACAACGCAACCTCTCTTGCTACGGCTCATGAAGGGATCCTTTCGGTCGATACAAAGATCAAGAGTAGCGAAGAATCAATCACCACTGCTATTCAGAATCTTCAATCAGCGATTGGAACTGACATGCACGACAACAAGTCTGCTCTCATCACTTCAATCAGTGATGTGGCCACTGAGCTTGAGACTGAGATGAAGAATCTCAACTCAAGATTGATGACTACTACGAGCGAGCTAAGGTCGGATATCAAGAACATTGATTTCGGTCCAACAAACACATCTATTGATGCATTGAGCAGAGATGTTCAATCTACCTACAAAACATCTGTGGAGACAGCCGGAAACTTGGCCGCGCTTCCGGAAGCATTTACTAACATTAGATCACATGTATCCTCCGAGAACGTTTCAATGAACATGTCCATAGATTCTATATCAAAGTTTGTAGCATCGATTGATGAGGCAATCAAGGAGACTGGGAGAGACGTTCAAGGTAATACTGAGATGTTGGCAAACGTCAAGTCAAGTGTTGCTACAAGTACCAATGACATTAGATTCCTTCTAGATAAACAGGTTCCCTTGATTCGCCAGGATATTCAGGCTATTGATCTCAGCCAACTCGAGTCCGCTGCCGCCAAGAATCAAGCTTCGGTCGATTCTATTGAAAAGAGCGTTCCTCAGATAATCAAACTCGCCAATGACCATGCATCGGCCTTGTCCCAACTGGACTACAAGATGAAATATCTCATCTCGGGAGATATTGCAAAGATTGGAAAAGCAATTGAGGCCGTGGACCAAGCCCTATCAAAGGCTGCTATGGAGACTATAAGTGCCGTGGAAGGCAACGCAGCGAGGCTTTCAAACATCCGTGAGACAGTTTCAGATACTTATACTACCGTGGATAAATTGACCCGTACTGACATTCCTGGTATCAGCTATTTCCTCTCGAGTCTCGAAACCTTCCAAAGAGAGTCCAATTCTCATGCCCTGGAAAAATTGCAGAACCATGACTACGCCACTGGATCCATCCGTGACTCCATTGAACATATCTCTACAAAAATAAACGACAATGCCTCGCTACTCTCAAACATCAAGAACGACTTGATTTCATCGGCTGAAATACACTCTTCAACGATCCACGCCCTATCTTCGAATATTCTCAACCTCGAATCAACAGTGGGCCAAACTACGACCGCCATTCGCGTTAATGGAGCAGCCCTTGCCCGAATCGACAAAGGTGTACTCGAAACTGGTGCACAAGTAAAATCCGTTGTTCTTGAAGGAAACAAGCGCCTAGCCAGGGAACTCGATAGAGCAGTTTCACAACTCGACGAATTGGCTCATGATAACGGTACACGAATTCGTGGAATCTCGGATTACGCTTTCCCCAAGATTGAAACCGAGATGAGAGGTATCCATAATTCCCTCGAACGATTAACACACAACAACATCGATGGATTAAGACGAACGCGCGATGCTCTAGCTGTTATAGGCACGAAAATCGCAGGAACTTCTCGCAAATTCGATGATCTCGTTGATGCTGTTCATTCGAGTGATGACCTGGAACATCTATCTCATAGTAAAACCTCGGTTGGAGGCAATGGGAAGATTCCTGGCGAACACCGTATACTTGGGACAAGGAGGAGTAGGGGTGGAAGTAATGCTAGTAGTACCAAGGACGGTCCTGTTTTGAGCGATTTGAGATTGCAGGCTTTCACACAAGGGCATTCAAGTTTATCATGATAATTGTCGGGCGGTTTTGTTTTGTTTTATCATGTTGGCGGTCTCTTCTATCAACGGAAGTTTTTACTGTTTGGATTTCATTGGGTTTTCATGATATGAAATGATTGTATGAGCAGAAGCATGGAGCAAGAACATAATATTTGCATTTGGAAGGTGTATGGAGTGGGCATGATTAGATTCGATACGAATTGGGATGGATATTATGATATGCGTATATGAATTGGATGACAGCTTGTTAATGATGACCTCAAAGGTCCAGAATGTTTAGATACTAGATGCATTTACCCTTCTTCCTTAACTATACCACTTGATCATAGCATACAAAAATTGTCTTAAGCGAGTATCTGGCCTGAACTACTTCATTGTGAAATGGTTTGGTATGAAAAGGAGGAGCTTCAATTAGAAGGTAGCTTTCAATGGCAAGCCTCTTTCTTCGGTTTGTTAATGATAATGCAGGAGATACATTAGACAGCGGAAGCATGCACATGAACATGATGGACAGACACAACATAAAGCCACAAATTGGAGGCTTACAGTACTACAGATATATATATGCAGGGTCCCGGAAGGAAACTCAGCCTTACACTTTGTGTCAATGAGGCGTTCCGCGCTAATCTTTTCCTAGTGCAAGGCTACCCCGCAAAATTAGCTACAGCCTTCTTCCTCCTTCTCCAGAGATAATCCATGTTGCATTTCACCCCATGAATCATCTTCGCCCACTGTACCGGTTCACGAGCTCTTTTTCAAGATCAAGATTAAAGTCTGCAATATTGTTAAACAACAGCCATCGCAGATTTATCATGTCTATCTCCACTAATGGTGTCGAAGTTGGGCAAGCCGACAAACCCCGCTATGTAGATGTAAGACTTGAATTCACTTGCCCATACCAAGAGCATGTATTCGGCCCAGGATGCAAAATAGCTGATCAATACATGCACAGTAGATAGGTATAAATCTCACCGATCCCGTCTACTCTGGCATCTACTACGGTACACAACGTCATCCAGCCGACCTTTCCTCTGTTATATCGCGAGCTCTTACCGCGGGATGTCAGAAATTTATTGTTACCGGATCCGATTTGGCGGAGTCACGAAAAGCTGTTCAGTTATCCAAAGAACATTGTTAGTATACCGATTTAGAAATGTGAGAGTGATAAACGAGAAACTGGAAAAAGCTGACCGCCAACCCTTACAGCAGGAATACTCTTCGCAACAGTCGGAGTCCACCCGTGTTCTTGTCTCCAGTTCACCAAGGCGCCAAATAATCCGGAGACATATCTTCGAGAACTCGAAGAACTAGCATTGAAAGCAAAGGATACAAACCACTGCGTAGCATTTGGGGAAATTGGTCTCGACTATGATCGTCTTACACTTTGTCCAAAGGATGCCCAGCTGGAATACTTTGAAAAACAGCTCGACATAGCGACCCGATTACACCTTCCGCTCTTTCTGCATTCACGTGCTGCTCATGAAGACTTTGTGCGGATTCTGAAGGCAAGATTGGAGGAGCTGCCCAACAGAGGGGTGGTCCATAGTTTCACGGGAACGAAAGAGGAAATGGAAGAATTGGTTAGTTTAGGATTCGATATTGGATTAAACGGATGTTCATTAAAAACGGAAGAGAACTTGGAGGTAGTAAAGGCGATACCTATGGAGAGACTTCAGATTGAGACTGATGGCCCTTGGTGTGAGATAAGACCAAGTCATGGTTGGGGTTGAAGGGTTGAAGGAGAAGGATGAGCGAGGGGAAAGTTTATCGAGGGCGGAAAGGGTTGGAAAAGTGAAGAAGAGGGTAGAGGGTAATGATTAAGGGTAGAAATGAACCGTGTATGATTGGGCGGGTAGCGGTCGTTGCCGGAGTCAAAGTGAATTGAGGGAGGTGGCATGGAAAAATAGTTGTAAGATGTTCGACTTGGGAGCGTGAGCGCTATGCACATGAGACCAAGTTCATTTGCGTACATATTAGATGACTAGAACTTAGATTTATATTCTAAACCAGCTGGGTTTTTTGGATTGGATTTTTCGTGTTAGAGGATGATGATTCTCAAAGCCTCCCGCATCGGAAAATGAGAGTTCAAATGGCATTGTCGATTTGAAATCTGTGCCATAGCGCCTTTCTGTTTAGTCCGGTTTCAACACTATCATTCTTCTCAAGACTTGAATAGTAATTTCAAAATTATCGTGTCGTGGCCACCATTGAACATACCGAACCTTTCAACACGTCAATGAAAATAGAAGACCTCCAACTCCAGGTATCACCGCCCATCCAAACACCAAATTACAAACCTTCCAATAATCAGACATACTCATCACAAACATCAATCACATACCACTTCCCTTAAATCCCCTAATTCTTCCTCTCTTCACAACGCCTATACTAACACTTTCTTCCCCAGTCATCCATCCTGGCATCTTCTCTCCGTCTACTATTCCCGCCTCAACTAATTCTCGAATGCCTGCAAATACATGATTTCCATGAAACGTTATCCTGATATCTGGCTTCCATGTATCTCTACCCCTTTCGTCCCTTTCTGTTTCGCTTCTTTCCTCGCCATCCTCCTCGTCCAATCTATCAAGCTCCGCTTCGATGGTACTTCTGCGCCCTTTATTCTTCCCTCGTTGTCTCCCGATCGCTGATTCATTTTCAGGATCGTGTATTATGGAAGCAAGAGAAGGGAAAGGGTCTTCGAGACGGACGTCGAGCCTTTCAATGCCTTTCCCATCATTAGACCTCGCAGAGCTTCCAAAACGGGCCATAGCTATATCCTTTCGCTTCTTTGCCAATTCTGGCGCGTCTTCTTCTCTAGGTCTCTTCATATTTCTCGGTATTACTTTCTCCTTAATAGCACTCTCTAAAGATTCAGTTGGCGAATCACCTGGTGTAGGCAATATCGGATTCAAGGGGTTGTCCTTTTTATTCTCTCCCGCATAAACTCCCCATGCACCTCCTGCTGCGTTGTGTCTTCCTCCTCCCCTCTTTTCACACAATGCTTCCAAATTCTTCGTGGAAAATCCAGTACCTTCTAACTTGTATCTCTCTCTTGGTCTGCTAAACGCCTTCGGAATCCCATCCAATGTCAATTTCCGTAAGCTCTTCGTATCGGTTGCTCCGCTGGCACTCCCTGCCGTAGAATTCAATGAAACATAAATATACGGCGAAGCATCCGGGAAGGCAATGTAGAAAGTCCTGCTAGAATCGAATGCCATGCTTGGCTTTTTAGATCCCGATGAAAGCGCAAGCGATGTATTGTATGGCGAATCCAGGATATATATCCTCAGGAGTAGTAATGGTAAAGTAGCATGTCGGTCGAGATTGTAATGGGCTTTTACGTCTGGCAAAACCTCCCTCTGTAAATTTTGCAAGAAAGTTGAAGGATGAAATCGTGGTATTGTCGAAGCTTTATTTTCTTCCTCCAAAACTTCATGATCGGGAGATGAGGATGACAAGCGTACGATTTTCAAGGCGGTCCATTTTTGCGACGTAGGATGATCATATAAATATTGCATATCTGCCATAGCTAATTGATATAGTGTAACTCCATGTCTCCAATCTCCTTCCAGAATTCGATCGAGTACATCGCGCTTGCTGCCTTTTTGCGTCGTGAAGGAGGTATAGAGTTCGCTGAGTGAATCGAGGGTAGCATGAGGTGGGTAGAGATCCTGCTCATAGTCGGATGCGGACTCGTCAGCTTCAAGAAGATAAGGCGCAGTGTTAACTTGATTACGTTCGTCGAGCCAGTCGAGGGCGAGGGTAAGAAGAGCAGGGCGCGAAAGGCGAGAAAGAAGTTTGTGTACGGAGGGGTGGGTGGAGGGGACAAGCTGCGAGGGAGGAAGCGCAGAGGTTGTAGGTATGGATATTGTGGCCATGATTGATGAAGGAGTATGAATAAAATCAAGTGGTAAATATTGCAGAATTAATTGACGCCCTCATAATCAGTTTCGTCAATTCTCTGATGTTGCTATTCGATTTTGTTCATCGCGTTCTGCATCGCGAAATTGTCGCGATCAGCTGATGTGGTGCTGTAGATTTAGCACTTGGACAGCCTGTGTTTTTCGCTAAGGTTAATCCCTAAAACAACGAATGACTACAAACTCATGAACAGCAAAAATTCGTACACAGATCAATGCCTTTAAGAGATTAGATCAAATACTTCCATTAATGGCAATGTTCACAATACAATCATGAATTGGCCTCAATCAATCTCAGAACTGTAGCTTTTCCGGGTTGAGGTTGTCGTAGAATTCGGAACATTGAGACTTCTAGGTAGTCCTAGAACCATCATGAGAAACACCTCGCCCCTAATGGTCCATAGCCACAACTGAGCAAGCTGCCTCGAATATCTCGTGAGGATAATTCACTGCTGGATGGGCTTTGAGAACTTATATTCAAATACTCGAGTACTTGGATTTAGCTATTTGGCAGGCTTGGTCTTCCAATCGGTTGTGCGATGATCCCCTGTACAGACGGCATAGCTTCCGGAGACACCAGGAAAGACAAATAATACTCTACTGTACGCAAAGCACTGGAAATAATTGCCTCCTTTATGGTTTCAATGTCACGGTCATCTACTAGTCTGTGGAGTCACTGATGGAAAGCAGAGTCTATGAAGTCTCCCAAATATGTTTGCACTATTTGAAATAAAATTTATGCCAATGAATGATGAGGACAAGTATTCTTGCCTGCCAGTAATGGCCATGCTGCGCGAGATGTGCAGCTACTCCATGGTAAATCCGCCATTTGTTGAAAGCTATACCTTGCCCCCCCCACCGGAACTCGTATCAAGATCGTCAAGCTACGATGCACCGGTGTATGAAGCAAAATATTGGAAGAATGTGTTGCGGCACATAGACAAAGGTACGTCTCGGTCCGGGCAATACGAGCGTCCAAGGTGGGAAATTCCAGACACAAATATGAATGTAAACCAGAAGTAGCGTCACAAAACTGAGCTTGAACATCTTTCTTTAATTCAATGGAAACAACAAGTATCTTCTGGGAAGTCTTCAAGGCAGCTTATACAAAGCATAGATCAGACGCCTTTCAAGTTGTTTCAGGATAGGCTTCACCCGCCGTAGAGAGTATGAGTGTTAATGTAGAGCTCCATCCCCCTTGGATATTGCGCTAGAGAAGCTGTAAGCCCTTTCCACTCTCCTATTCTTGTTCCCGTCATCCTCCACAAAACCATCCTAACTGTCAAACAAATATCCATTCCAGCCCTTTCTATTACCATTTATCTATCATACATATGTTCTAACCCTTACCGCGACGGCATCAATTCTCCTTTGAACTTTACAAGTCTCTTATAGTAATTGTTCTGCTTCTCGTCGTTGCAAGACCTGCAGCTTTAGTTTGGAGCTTGTTAATTGGGCGCATAACGCTCACTTTCAAAGGTATGGCTAGCTATGTCCTAATTTCTGCTCAATTTCCCCGAATCTTTTCCTATCTCGGCCTCTTAACGCATTCTCATCTTTTACTCTTCATGATTCCATTCATTGCCATCCCATTTCCTTACTATATAGGGAGAATTCGAAAATTCCGCTCTGCTCCACTATCCAACACAAACTCTTCTCTTTTGACCATTATTCTCAATCTTCACGTATCACTATTCCTCAGTCAAATCTTAGCTTCCTCATTCGAAAGAAGTACATTTTCTTCTACTTGGGCCTCCTATCTTCAAAATAATCAGACTTACACGGCCATGAGTTCATTAATTACGGGCTATGGAAGTGACGCTAATGCCGGTCCAGCAGTCATACCCGGACAAGGTGGGATCAAAGCCGAAGTCATTGATGATTTTGCGTGTACGATGAGTGAAGGACGAGATCTTTCCAGCATGGAATCAGACACAACTACCGTGACCAGAAAGGAAGAGGCAGTTGGTGCCAGTGTGTTTTTCTTGAACAAAGCTGAAAATATTGTGGCTCCACACACAGACATGTTCCCCGAGTTCAAAAACTGGCAAGATCAAGCTAGTATGTTTTCCTCTCATCGGTTCTACAAAAATCCAACTGATATATCAATTCTGCAGAACAGATTCTCGGTGGCCTAAAGCGTCCTCGTGTGCTTTTCGGTGTCCTTGGATACACCGGTAGCGGAAAATCGTCTCTTATAAATGCCCTTATTGACGAAGAAATGGTGGTGCCGGCTAATGCAATGCGCGCCAGCACATCCGTCGTGACAGAGATTTCATGGAATGATTCGGATGATCCTGGAGAAGCCTTCCGCGCTGAAATTGAGTTTATCAGTGAAATAGAATGGAAAATGGAGATAGGACGTCCTATTGGGCGATCTGAAGAATTCAACGAAGGGAGAAGATCTGTCTACCAAGACTGGCAGTGAGGCAAGCATTGCTTTTGCGAAAGTATCTGCGGTTTGGCCCGGAATTACTCTTGCCAAACTGAAGGGAATGACACCGGAGGAACTGTTTCAACAAATCGACGGCGTTTCTGATCATCCGGATTGCATTTTAGAAATCTCCGACTGTAATCCAAGCCATTCTCACAACAGATCAATTCTTACATTGACTCAAGCAACAAGCAAGTTTGTGCGAAAGGAATATCTTACTTGCCTCCGGTGCGTTGCGTTCGCATCTACACGAAAGCCGAGATTTTGAGGCATGGTCTTGTACTTGTTGGCCTACCCGGCCTCGGAGATTCCAATACTGGGAGGACACAAGTGGCAGAGAAATATGCGAAAAATCTCAACTACGTATGGATCGTGGCCGATATTTTACGTGCAATAGGTGACCAAGTCGCCAAAGATTTGATGGGGAAATCTTTCCGAAGACAGTTGCTCATGGATGGCAAATACGACGATAAGTACGTTACATTTATTATGACGAAAACTGATATCACCAACACCGAGGAAGTAGTCGAATCTTTACAGCTCCGAGAGAATGATTTGAGGAATGTTCTAGCTCAAGAAGAAAAAATAATTAAAGAAATCCATGATGGCCAGGAAGCACTCGGTCGAGAAATTGTTAAAGTCAAGAAGATGAAAAGGGCGTTGAGAGCACTGGAGAAGTCCAAGCCATCGAAAGCCGGTAAAGCTATTCCACGTAAGCGGAAATATAGTGAGAACGACGGAACAGAAGTTGACGAACAATTATTAGCTGACTTAGAAACTACGGACAAGAAAATATCGAAAAAGAAGCTTCTAGTGAGGAATAAAGCACAGGCTGTCATATCCATGAAATTATGGAAAATAACCTTGCTAGTCTCAAACGCACACTCAAGTTGATCAGGAAGGAGATCAAAGCTGCCTGTACTCAGGCTCGGAACAATTACACTCAAGAGCATCTCAAGATGGACTTTGAGAATGGGCTACGTGAGTTCAAACAGGATATTTCTGATGATCTCAATGACGAGCGGCCGCTTGGAAATGAGGATGACGTTGAGAGTAAGAACTTAGTATTTTGTCGTAAGTTCTGCAATATTCATGCTTACGGTAGTTGTTTGATACTGATATAAGTTTCCATGTAGAAGGGCTTGTTGATCAGCTACATGTTTTCTGTGTGTCCTCCAAGGGATACCAGAAACTTTCTGGACGCTTCAAGCGTGATCGAATTCCCGAAGGGTTTACAACCGTGAATGACACTTTCATTCCAAGTCTACAAGAGTATGCAGTAGCTTCCACCTTGATTGCGAGAACAAAGGTCAACGATGCCTTTCTGAACGAATTTAATCTTTTGAAATTGACCATCAAATCATGGGCCGAAAATGACACCCCCAACTCTTTATCTTCTTCTCAAAAACACGCGCTTAATGCTAGGTTAGAGGAACGGATAGAAACGCTCAACAAGGTATATGCGCTTTCCCATGATGTATTCTAATGTCTAACTCTCTGTAGTCTTTTAGTCATGCTTTTGATACTGCAATGACACGTATTCGCGAAACCATCGAAACAAATATCCTTTCAACCTTGGAGGGCTGCATCAAAGCTTCCACAGAAAAGGCCGAGCAGGCTTGTAGGAACCTCGTGAATTTAGACACGTCCTATCAAACTTGGAAAGCTATTTGCCAGGTTTAGCAACAGGAGAAACGTCAATTATGACTGGAATGGTGTTTTCGTGGAACTATTCTCGAGACTTCTCGCCACACCTTGGGACCAGGTTTTTAACAATCAGATGCAGCAGATTCACAAAGAGTATTCTGGGAATGTTGCCATAATTATCAACAAGTTTCCCATCGATGTAAAACCCCTTCTTCAGGATATGTCGGAGGCTTCTGCATCAAACTTGCCCATCGAATTTTTGACCAAGATCCCCTATCTAAACGGGAAAATCACAAGTGCGGTATCTGCGTCTCTGGGATCGGCTCAGAAGCAGGCGCGGGAGATTCATCGACTGATTGAGCCGCTTATTAAACAGCATTTGCAACCTGCATATGAATCGTGTAGTAGGGAATCAAGTAAGCAATGTAATTCATTGAAAGATGGCATAGTCATTAACATATGCGTCGTTTTCCAGATATAGGAGCTCTTTCTCGTATGAAAAAACTTCTCTTCGACCATATCAAAAAGAGTAACGAAGTAATGTACTAGGAGTGTTCTAAGGTGATCAAGACGAGACTGGACAAGATGATAGAAACTCGGGAGAAACTATTGGCCAAGACTCATACTGACACATCCGGATACCTCACCAAGACATTGGAGATATGATTATGTTGGCTGTTGCCAAGGATGATGAAACCAGGGAAGAGGTCAGGAATACTCTGCGTAACGATCTAAAGCTGGAGTTGAATATTTTGGAAGCTGCTTGGGTTAGGGGTGCTTCTGAGCCTACAGACGGACTTCTCTCGGTAATGGCGGAGGAAAAGCCGTTTGATGAGATTAGCGAAGATGATGACAACACCGAAGACCCGGAAGATAGTGACGACAGCAATATTAGTGATGAGGCGTAGAGCATCAGTGACGATGTCGAAGACTCCTGATCTGACATTGCCATTGAGCACTTGCTTCCATCTGAGGTGGTTTATTTACCCTATGAAGGAACAATCTTGCGCGCTCATTTTCACATGTATTTCATGATATTTCAGAAAAAGGAACATTTATTTGTACTATCCATGGCGTTGACTTTCGTTTCATTTTATCCATTCAAAAAATGTTCGTTGGGAAATGGGAGTCACGATTTGGTGGCGGGTGGCGATGAGACATGGAGCCTAATTCGAAACATCTCAGCTTTTTGTATCTTATTTTAGCAAAAAGAATTCAAGTGCTTCTTCTTAGTAGGTATGCAATCAAATTGAAGAAGTATTTGGAGGATGTGTTTATGGAATTCTTTCGGCCGAAAATAGACATCATCACCATGACCAACCTCGAAAGTTTTAGACGCCAACACCGATGATAAAGTGCGGTCTCTCATAATTGTACATGACGATGTTACATCTTCTCCTTCAATGCAGAGCTAGTTAATAATTTGTCGACCGAGTATTTTCGGCCGCTAGAACCTTTCCCGTCCGGTGAGAAGATTATTCTACTATCAAAGTAGCATTTATCTTAGCATGCACGCACTCGGGGTACATCCCGCGTACGATTTTGATTGGACCTCTCACTACCGATACAGGAATGGCAGGACATACATCGTATGATTAGATGGAGATATCCTAGAAAGAGAGAGTTCTGAGCATTTGTCAGACCGCAGCTATTGATGGATTTCTGCCTGCTCGCTCTGCTGTGTCGTGGCTGGTTAGACCAGAATCTCTAGCCACAGTAGTAATGTTACCAATCAATGAAGCGGTCTAATACTCATGGCATCTAACCGAATTTAAGCCGGATGCCAAGAATCTGAATCTTTCCGGATTGCACGCACGGTAAACGGTAAACGGTAAATGTAAATGAAAGAGGGCTCGAGAGATCTCAAAGAAAACGGATTATCCATCCCCAAAATGGACTCATCATGGCTCCCGGTTTATTACTGGTCGAGTGTTGAGCAATTGATGCTCAATACGAAAAGTGTGAAAGAAAAGCAAAGAATTTGTGAATGGGAAGGATAACAATGATAACCCAAATGTGAATCGATTGATTGCTTTCCCCAATCACTAATTAGATTTTCTGAATCCATTCATTACAATCAAGTGAATAGTAATCACGCTTTATAGAGTACAGAGAGAACGATGAACGAACCCCCACCATAAGATTCCTGTGCAAACGGGATGCGGAGAGACAGCTACACAATATACCTTCACAAGACCCTCGACTCGTAGTCTTGGACTGAATGTGAAAGGATTTCCCATGACCTCAAATCCAGTGGAAGAACACATCCATCTACCTCACATCTACCTACGGTCCTACACACAACTCTCTTCGGCGGATGCGGGAGTTGACGTTATCATCTTGCAGACAAACGTAACTGCACTTATTACTATTATTACTACTATTACTGAACCCCCCGCTGCAAGTTGTTGCTGTTCAAAAAACATACCAGATTTACGGAATTACCATTGACATTTGTCATCCAGTACTGTCGAGCGGGGCAAAACCCACCAATCTAAACAATTCGAAAGCCCCACAAATCGCTCCGGAATTTCATTCAACTCAACAATCGACTCTGAACATCTCAACTTTCAATTCTTCCCAGGTCATACTAACCAACAGCTTGTTCATCCTTCATCCTTCATCCTTCATCATTCATCATTCATCATTCATCATACATTTTCTTATAGGACGTTATCTACCAATCACCAATTCAATTCACGAATCTAAGAGGGAATCGCCTCGATTCAAGTTGCCTTTTCAGAATCGGGCGCAATTCGGAGAACAAAGAAGAGAATTCGAATAAACCTTTCAACCACCTCCCACCTTCAAGCCCTTCCGGTGCTTCCATCGAATGATCCCATCTGCCATTTCCACCTCGATATCATAAACATCAAAGGGCTATCGAATTTCCTCGAAATCCTCGAATATTTCCTTCAAGATGGCATACAATGGTCGGCGGGGTCCGAATGTGTCGGAATACATCGCGAATTTGAACGCAATCCCGACACCACAAGATTTACAAAATTCCAATCAGGAATCATTCAATGTCGATGATGATTTGGCCATGTTCACGAACGCACAATTCTTCGACTTCGATTTGAATCAAAATGCCAGTACAGATTTGCAGGCACCAAACTTTGATGGCGTTGGAGCACAATCTACTGCGGATAGTGCTGACATGGATTTAAAGGACTTGGATTTTGGCATTACAGGTTAGAGATACCCCCGAGTCTTTACTGTTATGCTGCCAAACCGCCGTACTTCTGTCTATTCTCTTTTCTCCCCCCCTCCTTCATCTTTCTTCGTGCTCCCTTCCCTCGATATCTTTGGTCAATGTGGCCCATCCCTATCTTGTGGTTAAAGGTTAGTCACATTTGTCTCGAAGCACAAGTGTGCATATCACATTAAATATTGATTTAGGACCCTCTATCTGAGTAGTCTTACTGGTCAAACGTTCAGCCAATACCTCAACATGCACATATCCACGTGCTATTGCGCATAGGAAGTTATAGCTCTTATCTTCTTGCATTACTTCTCTGCAACGTTTCTCAGACCCTTCCTTTTAAGTCGTCCTTTGTACCCTTTTCATTGTGTCGCTTGGTAAGCACGCACGATTACCACGATTACCGAGCAATGGCGACATATCACGTGGTGTCGCACTGGATGACCAGGGTAATGAATGGTTGCTCCACTCTTTTTTCTCTCCAAAGATCACTAGTGTGTATCGGATGGAATCCTCGTCTCTCTTACCCGTTTGCCGTCGCTTGGAGCTATCTACCTGCAGATCCAAAATATAATTCCACATTTATTCCTCTCGTCGAGCATTTCTTTTTCCAAAAAAGCAGGGAAAGCTAACATCACAATGATCCATTCAGCTGATTTCAACTTTTCGGATTTCAATACCTATCCTACCAATTTCGGTAGTCATGATGGTATGCCTTCGGTACTTCATCCAATTCAAACCAACCATCAAATTTATCAACCTCCTTCATCAGCCGGTTCTCCTACATCTGCCCTAGTCTCCCCACAGGTGGGAGAAAAGCGTAAAGCAGAGTCTGTATCTGATGGACGATCTCCTGACTTCGAGGATGCATCACGTTTGGCTGCTGAGGAAGACAAACGTCGAAGAAATACCGCCGCTTCAGCCCGCTTTCGTGTCAAAAAGAAGCAACGCGAACAAGCTCTTGAACAATCGGCCAAGGCTATGGGCGATAAAGTCGCTGCTTTAGAAGGTCGCATCAATCAATTAGAGACCGAGAACAAATGGTTGAAGAATTTGATCACGGAGAAGAATGAGAGTAAAGAGGATATTGCCGCCCTATGGAAAAAGTACAACAAGGACGCCGGTGACAGGAAAGGCGCTGAACGCAAAGATGGTGTGGGCACAGAAGCTTGATTATCTTCCAAAGATAATTTTTCTACTTCTATGTGTTCATACATTTCTGGTCTTGCGTTTTGCGTGTTTGCGTTTGCGCCCATTTGTGCTTGATTCAATTCGCGCCATGGGTTGTTATGATGGTTGGGGGGGTAATTTTCACACATATTATTGCTTGGGATTGGTATATTTTTGGATGTGTCGGGAGAAGACGATGCTGGCATGGCATGAAGGTTGACGATATGAATGATGGTTGTTATGACGGATGATTGATTGGAGGCGTGGATAGATCCCGGATAGTGAAATGCGTCGGCTTCATCGCCTCACATAGCTACTGGTAAATTCACAGCTAGAACTTTAACTAGATGCTACAGCATCCACTGCGTGTACTCTCGCTTCCTAGTTAGGTAGCTTATCTACACACAAAAAAAATCAAATAAACATACACATGTACCAGAGTATCTAATTCATACGATCGATTCACTGTGAAATTCAATCCATATGACCTTTCTCAACTTTCTCACTCGCAATGAGCATCTCATACATAGTCAATACCGTGAAAGCTCTAAACTACCGAATCTAACCCACTGATGACCCTAAACCTTTCCACACTCGAGTCCTCCCACTAAACGAAGAAAAAACACCATAACCCCTCCAGATTGCGTGCGTGGGAATTCAAGACTACCCTCCACAGTAGCATCCGCTCCGGCACTTTGCATCGAACAAAAATCCTACGCGTACCGGGTAGGAAATGACGTTTTGAACGGGGTTTGTGGGGGATTAGCCGGTTCGCTAGTATCGCTACTGTGGATTTACATGGGGGGAGTGGGAAAATTAGCCGATAGGCAAGGGGGTGACGGCTATTTTTTAGCCGGTGGTATGATGAGAATGGGTACCGGTGGGTGGATGGGTGTGATAAGCTTATGTTGACTTCGGTGGTGTTTGCTATTCACTGTTGTTTGTTTTTGTTGTTTTTGTTTTTTTTAGAAGAGAGGCGAAGAGGAAAGTGGGCTTTTTGAAAATGGGTATTCTTTCTTTCTTTCTTTTCATAGCGGGGGAAAATGGCGGCTAATTTGTTGTGATTTTTACTTGCGAGCGATTGATATGATAGCCGGCGCGGCTGGAGAGTTACCTGCTATTTGGTTTTGACGCCTGAGTTTTTTGATTACTTTGTAGGCTCGTTTGCGATTATATGACGTATTATGGGAACATTGTGAAGAGGTAACAGCGAGGTAAGATGAGATATGAGATATATATGTATCCACAGCGAGCGGAAATATTGGTCGCGCCATGAGGGCGATCGATATCTCCTCGAGCTCGTTACTCCATGGATGTCAGGTACGTATACATTGTCGAAATGGAAGGTGGGGATTTAGAAGAGTAGTTGGGGGGAGAATTATGCGAGAGCTTGTTGCTGGGCCTTGAATTTATACAAATTCTTCGAATAATACGCGGGGATACTAATATGGGAAGTCCGGAGATGGGAGGATGTTTTAGCGATGATACATAGCTATTGCCGTGGAAGAAAAACGTAGCAGGTGCGGGAAGGAGGGAGGGAAAAGGAGGGAGGCGAAGAAAGGGAGGAAAGAAGTCGAGCGGAAGCGACAACAAAGTGGTCGAGCTCATCTATTCCATCAAACTACCATAGTTATGGAAAGAGATTTTTCCTCGACACCTTCCATACCTATTGCTGAAGAACCCCCCGCTAATGCAAGGCATGCTTCTAGCATTGATGGGAGTTCGGGGAGTTGTTAGTAGCAGCATTGGCCCAAGAGCAGTCGGCAATCGCGTGGGATCTCAATGTCATTGTTACTGTGATTTACCTGTGGTATGTTAATTTTTCTTTTTCATTAGGCCTGTTAACTGCTCCGGCCGTTCACAGCCATCGAACCATTGTATGATGATCACTTCAGCGCGAGGCACATACTTTTTTTCACTTGCTCATATTTATTAGATTAATTGACTGATTGATTCATTTTGATTAAATCATAAAATAAAAGCAGTGTGAGATTCCTCCCGAGGTAGTACTCATCAGAAGCTTTGGATAGTCAAATAGATAGTCGCATCTATGTTTTCCTCGTTGCACACTCACAGGCGTTGAAAACTGCTCTGTGCTATCTTAGCAGCAGCGCTGGTATTCCAATACAAATTCATGTCAAAGCTCCACCAAACTTCCAGGCACGGCGAGATGAACCATCAGAACCATTAGCTCTTGTATCTGGTTTTCATATATTCCTGAAGACGTTCTCATTTCCTTCGGATGTGATAATGCCGAGATCCGAATCCTTCTTCGAAGAATTCTGATAACGAAAGTGAATCCAGCACAGCCCCACACCTCAACAAATTGGCAAGAACTTCAAGCAATTTCCCAGCTTCACAGACCTCAAATCTATTGAGCCCGACTTTCTCGCCTTAATAAGCAGCTTTTCCTAGCTACCCAGCTCTATAGACCTCGAGCTTATTGAGCTCCAGTTTCCTCGATCTCAACACGTCGAAGACTGCACTCTTGATCCTTACCAAGATAAACGCAGTTCATACAAGCACCCTTCAGCTCTTGCCCAGCCAGCTTTGTAGCGTCAATAACGACACAGCTCGAAAATGGCACAGACCCTTCCTCCATATGATCAACGCAGTTCTTGCAATTCTTTCCTTGCTCCAACACCGTACCAGCAGCCTGACCAGCACAAGCTCGCCAGTGTTCAACTTTGGTGTCGGCGATCTCACCATTTCGCTCCATATATTCTGGTGCAGGATCGATAAGTTGAACAGTGTTGAGATTGCGCAACTTGGAGTGGATAGGATCATCGAAGAATGGGTTTCGATTTCCAATGTTCACGGAGCTGCAGAATTTATTCACGAGATCTGAAGGTGTAGGTCCAGTAATTCGATGCTTCTTTGGGGAGTTGCGCGGAGGAACAGATGAATCACCGTCAGAATCGTCATTGGAGTCGAGTTGGTCGTCGCTAATTTCATAACGAAAATCATGATCAGAACCAAATGCCTGGCGCGGACGCTTGCTACCGCTTTGAGTCATCCCAGCAACTTCAGAAGCACCAGCCGTCATTCTAGCAGCATTTTCTCTTCTGCGGCACTCGTTCTTAATCTGCTTGTCTTGGAACTCACGCTTTCGCTTCAGATTCTGGGCTTCGTACGTTCTCTGCGTTTCGTCGATCTTTGCATTCGTGTCCAAACCGTGAAGAGTCGCCGCCCTATACTTTTTGCCCTTCTCACAACCCAGATTGTGCTCTTCGAAGAGATGTGGCTTCATGTATTCTCTCAAGAGGTCGGAACGCATTAATACATCAACACATGCCATTTTATCTAAAAGATGCATGTTGGAGACTGATTCCATGAATTGATTTGCTGGGGCCACATTGGCAAGAGAAGCGAATGCGAGGCCTAATCTACTTGGAAGCGTGCGATGGAAAGGTTCTTTGGAGGTGCTTGCCTGGGAATGACTCTGGGTTTGTGGGATTTGCCATTGGGGAGTAGGTTGATTCCACGACGTGGTTAGTGCGCTTTGCTGTGCTGACTGTTGACCTTGTTGTTTGGATTGTCTGCCTTGCTGTGTCATCTGTCGTGGTGTTGCTGTCGATGAAGCAGGTGCAAGAAGACGGAAGGAGGCTGGTCCTCCCGCAAGTCCTGGGCGTCTGATACCCCCACATGCGAAACCTAGCGGTGAAACTTGATCTTCCAGCTGCTGAAAAGTATTTTCACGTGAGCCTTGAGGATATCCGAATGTTGGGTGAGATACAACACCTGGTCGGCTGCCAGGATGTTCAGAAGTAGCTCCATAGCGTCTATGTCGCTGCTGTCCAGCATGACTGGATTGTTCGACACCTGGAGTTTGGCCTCCCTGGTGAGACTCTGGATGATTACCTGCAGGTGGCCAATTTGTAGTCGTAGGCTCCTGAGCTAGGATGGGAGTCGCATCACTGGACCTCCGATCATTTGTAACTCTTGGTGTACTTTCGTGCAATGCAACTTTCTGTTGATTTGTTGGTGACACGCTGCCAGAAGCACTTTGATGCTGCCCCGCTTCTTGTGAAGGTTGTTGTTGGGGTTGCACTTCTTGGACATCCCCGGCACCTTGAACCAGTGTGTAAGAAGAAGCGTTGTGGGCATCATTTGAAGGCTGTGGACCAGGAGCATCACTATCAACTGCTGAGTCCATTGATTGACCATCCAGTTGCCAGTTACCGAAAGTTGTCGAGTGGTTATATCCAACTGGTGGAGTTGGTCCACGCAAAGCGTCAAAAGCCGACTGCATATGGAAACCAGTGGCAGCAATGGGAGGTCTTGCTGCATATGGAAATGCTTCAGTCATACTTCGGCTCTCTTCAGGTTTCAAATTAGACACGCTTGTTGCACGGCTAGGCTGAGCTGCTGTGGTCTCTTTAGAAGAAGTATCAGGTTGATATTTTCCATCTTGCAGCGTTGACTCTTGTTGTGGAGCTTCAACATCCTGGGACCCTGTAGCAAACTGAGTGGAGATGTTGAAGGAAGAATTGCCAACATCATTTGGTGATTGCGGGTCTGCGGGGATACCACCGTCAGCAGTTGAATTATGGTTATCAAAAGAATATGCCAAATCAGTGTGCATATGGAAGCGAGATGTCGTGGAACCTAAGCCAAAGTTGTCGATGAATTTATGTGTTGACATGTCCTGCTCTCGAGTAAAAAAGTTACCGCCGCCAGAAATGCGAGTGAAATTCGGGTCAAAGAAGGAAGGAGAATCCTGGCCATGACGTGAGTCACTCCGTAAACCCATCACGTCAGGGAGCCGTCCATATTCTTCTGTGCCAAAACCTCGCATAGTTGGATTTATGAGGTTGGGGGAAGATGGCATCTGGGGTAGAGATGTGGGAGGAAGTATGCTCGAGAGTACGCTCGAATTTGGGTTCCAGCCTTGTGGTAGGCCTTCTACATCCTGGCTATTTTCGATAGGCCATTCTCCCTGATTTTCGATGGGTGTCGGAAAAGTGGGAGTCGTAAGGTTGCTCGTACCGGCCTGTAGCGCACCTATAAGATACGATTAGCCACCATGTATTCGGGGGGTTAAAGAAAGCAGGTCGAGGAGAAATCGACGGATCTTAAGTCTTACCATTTGCGCCATTGCTACTCGAGTTAGCATTCAGATCGGAAGGATACTGGTTGTACCAGAAAGGGTTGTATTTCGTGTTCGTGTTATTGTAAGACATCTTGCTGATGATCACTGGTTTGCAGTTGCGATTTCTGCGAGCCCTCGGTGGAAAAAGAGCGTGGTGCTGTACTAGGATACAGTAATCTCAAATAGGTGAGTAGCTGTACAGTTTTTCCAAGATGTGGTTGTTTCTTGAAAGAAGTTTGAAGCTGTGCGAGAGGGGAGTGGAAGTAGAAGTGGAAGTGGAAGTGGGAATGGAACAATTACAATTGTCCCTTCAAAGGTAATCAAGGTACATGTTGGAAGAGTTTGGTTGTCTGTGGAAAGACTTCTTAAGAGTTGACGGAACCACCATCTCCCTGGTTACTATCTCGAAGCCTGTTGCTCAGCGACGCTAAGCCTTTCTGGTGTATTATTTCATGAACAAACCAGTATTGGCAAGAGGGGTATTAGCCATTCATACCTGAGGCTCCCTCAGACCGTGAATTATTTGCTGGAATATACTACCAAAGAATAAGTTACTTTCCCTTGGCAAGATCATCTCTATAACTCAAGTTGTCAAAGTTCAACATTTTTCATATAATGTGAATTATGAGGGGTATAAGTCTTAGAAGGTTCGGTGCAATAATCTGCATATTCTCTACACACTTGGGGTTCTCATGACAAAGACCAACCTTAAATCATCTTGCAGAGCTTGACGAAATCAAAGGATTGGATATAATATGGTGCACGACTATACACTACAAAATTTAAGGATAGTGCATGGTAAGAAAATGAGTTTTTTCTTTATGACGCACACCTTTTTATCTACATAAATACAAACTGCCTCTCCTCCTGCACGAGAGACAAACTATGCATCAATCCTACAAGATTGTCCAATGGAGCTTGGCTAATGTAGACAAACACAGCTAGCTTCTACACTTTTCCCAAGATTTTGAATTGTATTGCAGATGCAAAAACATTTTGAAAATTCACTCAGGCTATGTGAAGCCCATGATGGGATGAGAATACAAGCAAGCTGTACAAAGACAATTGAACTCCACTTTCATACCTGGATTTTTTTGGAGGCTGACTACCAATTCTACTTTTGTTTAAGCGAACTCAAATTTAGTCATTCATGCAGAAAGGTAGAACAAACACAAAGGCTGTTCAGAGATATTACGTGAAATACCTGCGCCTGAAAAATGAATGCATCCATCTAGTGAAAGCAAAAGAACAATCTGTTTGGGGTAAAAAACAAGCTATGTCACAGTGATATTGATGAGTTGCGTATAGGTTGTTGGATCTCTTTGATGACCACTCCTATAAGTTTGGTGGAAGAGCAAGAGAGATCAAGACAGTTTAATCCTGCTGACCTAGCCAGCTAGGATTTCTCTTGCTTACGTTCTCCATTTCCTTTTCATCTTTACGAAACATGGCATGGAACATTTGGTCTTCTTGACTCCTTTTCGCGTTCTAAACCGACGCTGCTAGAGTACCAGTGAGTATTACTTCAATCTCCAGCACTTACATCAACACCCAAACTTCAAAACTAGATTTTTACGGACCTTTCTCGCCGGTCGTCGGTATTTTCCTACAACGGTTACTCAACTAGCCCTGGTATAACCTGAGCCTGGGTCTCGTGACTGATTATTAAATAAACATCAGGGTAAAAGCCGCTATCGGAATGATGATAAATAGTCCTCTATCGGAGGTCTTTACGCGATGACATGACGTTACGCGATGACATGACGTTGCGGGCTGAAAGTAATGTTACTCAGCTTATCATGCTCTCAAGTTCAAGCTAGGATAGTGTGTTTTCAAAGAGGTGGTGCTCTCACGGGACATATTGTTCTATTGTTTCAATCATATTAATCTCAGCCTCACCTTGATAGAGGTATCTGACATCCAGATGTGTGAGTAGGTTATTCGATAGCCACATGGTCTCGTGCTCTTCATTAACACATTACTCTACATGGTTTCCCATGGATATCAGTGATCATGAGTGATGCGCCTTAGAGCCACTTTAAGTATCTTGTCCTACTCGAGGTCAAGTATATCGAATTCCAGTCCGTAGTATATATATCCATTTGATAGGTAATCGGACCGTCGCCTTACTTAGGCCAAGATTATGACGAGCAGGAAGATGATGTGATGAGCTTGATCTGACCGCTGGCAAGTGACACGGTTTCTGATTGAAAATTTTCAGCCTGAAATCGATTCTGCGCTTGCCCAAGATTACATATATCCTATCGATAACGTTAACTATAAGGTTACTCTACCATTCCCGGGAATCGAGAGTGAGTGGCGGACTGAGGGATTATGGCATTGCCTCTTGGTGGCGGTGATAATACGTAGATTTGTGTGACGGTGAGTTGTGATTGAGGTGTCAGGAGTCATCATGTTCAAATAAACTTCTTGATGAGATGAGTGAGACATTGATAAGAACACGGAAAACAAGGAGTAATGACACGTGATCACCTGACTATCTTGTGTATCAACAAGTTGGCCAATCATCGAGCGTAGAACTAATCACAAGCGCTATCTTACGCGTTAACCGCTATCTGGCTTTTACTTTTGTCCGGGTCCATAATTATTTTGCGAATGATAACCGGTTAACAAATGGCTTTGAGATTTGACTACTTGTCCGGCACTAGCTAAATAAGCTCCATTATGACTGAGATAAAGCAGGATTGCGCAATTATGTCGGACTTCCGAACTTCACTCCTTTATTATTCGATGATATATTCTCCGAGCTAGAATTCCAATATTCTGAATCACTTTCGCTTTCGTATGAAGTTAGGACCTTTTCGACAATATCAAACGTAGGAACGACCACCCCAGCTCCCCACACCGTTTGATAGAGCTTCCAAGCAACTAGCAGTCTTATCTTTACCGCTCTCTGTTTGTTTTGTGGGATTGAGAATATAAATCATCTGGAGTACTACAAGTTAGATGAGTATGCAAACCATCATGAGATGAAGTTAGAGCCACCGTATGCTGATTCAAGCAACCTAGGATAACACTGAGACAATATGGGCGGAACAAACTTAGCCTGGCTTTGCTGGGTATTCATGCTTTGGATCCTACATGGCGTGAACTCTTCGACTGTTCCAAACACTGGCAATCTTGGAGCAGTAGCAAGTGAAAGCAAGACATGTAGTGATATAGGAACCCAACTTATCAGGAGAGGTGTAGGTAATTTCCTATCCGTGGTTGATTTGGTACTAATCACATGGTTCAGGGAAATGCCGCCGATGCTATGGTTGGCACTACTCTTTGTGTTGGGGTCATTGGTAAGGCAGTTTCTGACGTTTGAATTACCTGCCGGTAGTAGACTTACAAAATTTCAGGAATGTATCATAGTGGTATAGGTGGAGGTGGTTTTATGCTTGTGCGTAGCCCAGATGGAGAATTCGAAACCATAGGTCAGGTTCACGAGAGATCCATTTTATCTTCACTTAGCTTACACACAAATAGACTATAGAGAGACAGCTCCAGCTGCTGCATATCGAGACATGTATAAAAAGAAACCCAGAGAAGCTGTTGTTGGTGGAAATGCCGTTGCTGTTCCTGGTGATCTTAGGGGACTTGAGTATCTTCACAAGAAATACGGAGTATGTGGATTTTTGTTTTGAGATAAGTTAACTAACTTTAACTAGCAACTACCTTGGCATGCTGTTTGCAATCCTGCTATACATGTCGCCAGATATGGATTCCCTGGTATGTAATTTTGCCGAGATTTTGTAAACATCACTAACTAGAATTAGTGACGGAAGATACAGTTTACTATATGAAAGCTGTTTACAACCAAGTTGGATGGAACTTCCTTCAAGATGATCCAAACTGGGCTATGGATTTCGCTCCGAACGGCACACTCCTCAAAGTGGGTGATACAATGACAAGGAAAAGATTTGCCAACACGCTAGAGAAGATTGCCGACAAAGGAGCATCGGCATTTTACGAAGGAGAAATTGCAGAGGCAACCATCGCAGCCATAAAGTCCACGAATGGAATTATGACGCTGGCCGATCTACAAAATTACGAAGTAAAAATTCGTAATCCAATCAATATCACCTACCGCGGCTATACTCTCCACTCAACCGGTACTCCTTCCGGTGGTTCCATAGCTCTGAGCATTCTCAAGACTATAGAAGGATATGACATGTATACGGCATCCGATTTACTTCTGAACACACATAGACTCGATGAATCCATGCGTTTTTCATATGCCGCGCACTCCGAGCTGGGAGACCCGTCAATTTTTGCCGAGATGGATAAATTGGAAGAAGGTATCATTTCACCTGAGACAGCAAGTGCAAATAGACGGAAGATCTTGGACGATAAGACACAAGATGTGGGAAGGTATAATCCAGAAATGTGGGATATTAAGAATAATCATGGGACGTCGCATATGGTCGCTACGGATGCTTCTGGTCTTTCGATTACATCAACCTCTACCGTCAATCTACTTTTCGGTTCTGCCGTTATGGTTCCTGAGACTGGTATGTTATGTTTAACAATTCCCTTCTCCCATCTTTGTCAGTTTCATGAACTGCAAAGTTCATACGTCTCCCTTCATCTCCGTTTAAAACAGTTCGAATCTTGCTGACAATTTCACAGGAGTGATTCTCAACAACGAAATGGATGATTTCTCCATCCCTGGCGTCCCCAACTCTTTCGGTTTCGTTCCTTCCCCTATGAACTATGTTCGTCCTGGGTGAGTTTCGGCGGCCATTCCCAGATTTAATCTTCCCGCGTAACCACCAATGACTAACCATCAACTCTAGTGCGCGCCCCATGAGTTCCATCTCCCCCATCCACATCTCTCACCCCAACGGCTCGCACTTCCTCTCCATCGGCGCAGCCGGCGGATCGCGAATCCCCACCTCCACTATCCAAACCATCATCAACATAATCGACCACGGTATGTCGCTCGAAGAAGCATTAAAGCAACCTAGACTGCACGATCAATTACTACCAGAAAGAACAACCGTAGAACCTGGATATAGCGAAGAACTACAGGAAGGACTGAGGGAAAGAGGACACAAAGTTACGTGGTCAAGCGGGAGGGAGAGTGCGGTGCAAGGCGTTAGAGTCTGGGGCGATTTATCGATGGATGACGGGTTAGAAGTTGGAGGATGGTTGGAGGCGGTAGGAGAACCAAGACAGAAGGGAAGTGGTGGGTCCGGGGTTTGAGAGGTTTAGAACAGGTTAGATACACCTTTTGCTCAGAGGAAGGTGCGCGAACGCGCCGGTAAATTGCTAAATTGCATACCTCCCTTCACGGCTAACAATGTATTGAGCTTAATGTTATTAAGTTCATGGGGATTAGAACGAACATTTAGAATACACAGGGGCGGGGATAGAATTTTGGGTTGGATATTTGTGGAAGACATAGAGTTGATAGATAGGCAGGGCAGGGGCACTTCTCTGGACTATTCTAGAAAGATGAGCGGCATGGCATCGATGCTGCCAGACTTGCGATTCGATAGAATAGCACATTCAATGAATTATTTCCCATCCTTAGTGACCTAGTTTTCTGCACTGTTCAAACCATATCTCAAGACTTGCAGTAGTAGAAGACTGCTTTCCCTACAATGTGACAACTCGCTATGTATTGGATATTTGCTATGTATTTGCATATGTATTCTACCCGCTCGCATCTTCGACGCGTTCGCCTATATAAATCAGATTTTATATACACCCTCTATTGGTTTCTTCTGATGCTTTCCCATTTCCTCCGTAATGCCACTAGCTGTTCCATACCTAGAATCCACTTCTTCGCAAACTCCGCTTCTGTAAACCTTTGCGCCGATTTTCTCGCCCTCAACCTCATCGCTATTTTATCCTCGCGCGGAAGGGATAATGCGCTCTCGAAACCTTCGGCAAATTGTTCTACCGTTGATGCATGGAAGCCTGCGTTCAAGGATTAGTTGCGCTACAAACAAGCGAGATGGAAAGGGGTAAGAAGAAAGGCAAACAACCTGTAGGCGAACCATCAATTTTGGTAACAATATCTCTTTTTGGACCACCGCTATCATGAACAACACTGATTAATCCTGCCGCTTGATACTCCACAACTCCTATTCCAAAATGCTCATTCCACATTCCGTTAACCCCAACACTAGCTTCGCCTAACCACTTCAGAATATCCGGCCAAGGCGCATCCAAGTGAAATTCGACATCATCCTTAATCTGTAATTCATTTGCTAACAACCGTAATTGATATACACGTTTTGAATCAGAGTCGTCGCGAACACTGCCGATGAGAATAAGTTTTGAGCCTTCGGCTGCGTGAGATTTGGTAGCTTTGAAGGCGGCAAAGGCGCTCAAAATAAGTTGATGGTTCTTTTCAGGACGGAATTGCGCGATATAAAGAAGATCTGGTTGACGTGCCGATTCTGATTCCGCGTCTACTGTAATCTTCTCCTCGAGCTCTTCGACGGCTACGGGGGGAAAGACTGCTGTTGCAGTGGGCTTCTTTAGGTCGCGTCGCCATTCTCCCCATAGTGATGTGATGTGATCGAGTGTCCAATTTGAGTTTGTGAGGACTACATCAATGGATGCTCCGACCCAGGTGTAAAATTTCGCAAATATGTTCCAATAGAGCTTCTTTGCCTCTCCTCTCAGTCCTTTGCCTTTTCCAGCATTCACTCCTTCCTTTCCGGTGGCTGATGTAGGATCCAGTGATCCCAGCATATCTGTCGAGATTGTAGGATAATGTACGTATGCTCCAGTGGGTACTTCGGAAAATAAAATCTTGCTAAATCCAAGTGCAAATGCGTAACCCATTGTATCCACAAATATGTCCGGCACAACTAGAGAAAACGCATCCCATGCAAGTATAATGGAACCAATCGATTGCCCTAGAAGCGTGAAATGAGGCCAAGTTGAAGCCAAAACCCAATGTCTAGTTGTGAGATAAAGGAAGGTAATCGTTGGTGGATGGAGTTGAATGTTGAAACGATCCTGTTTGTCGTAATTAGCCGGCACATTCGATGAGAATGGTATTCTGTTTATACCTTTACTCTAGCAATTATCTGCGACTTATCCACATCATGATCTCCAGTGTAGACGATGCATTTCGCATTGGGCCATCTCTTTTGAGTTGCTAGAATTGCAGCCCACAGAACACGTTCACCACCACCTCCAGCATTACTAAATTATTGTTAGCCAATTAAGCCAAAACAATTTCAGGCGAGGTCTCTCTGTACCAAAAGGGGTGGAAGAATCCAACAATGCCATCCCATTCCTTGTCCCCATTCGCTCCAGTTTTGGTTGCATCAGGTTCCACATTCTCCCAATCATCACTATCTCGCCTCTTTTCTCTACTCTTCCTATACTCCTTTTCATCGATCGCTACCCTTTCCAAAACTTGAGCCTTCCTCCCTGCTGTCTTTTGCCTCAAATAAAACCCCACAATGCGTCCGACATATCCCACAAGCTTGGGGACTCCTAAAAGAACAATCAAGGGAGTCGCACCAAGAATCAAGGCTATTAGAATTGTCCATTTGGTATCCAGCCCAAATGTCCACATATCACTACCATCCGGAGCTTTGCATGTTTCCGCCATAATTTTTGGAAAGATTTGGAAGAGAAGTGAGGGGGAGCGACGTTTGTCTCTAGACTTTCCACGGTTACTGTGTCACTTCTGGCTTGTGACGTGCAGGCGGTGGAGTGTGCGGCCGCTTGTACCGACATGCGGGCATTCTTTTTCAAGGATGACATGTGAACGGCAACTTTCTACTTCGACAAATGTTCAAATCATGTTGGAATATTGAGAAATTGATCGATGCATGAGGATTAATTGTCTCTTCTGAGTAAGACACCTTATTAATTGACTTACGATGTCTATAATATCTCGGCCAAGTCGCACGTTAATGCGCCCTTCCTCCAGCTCAAAACTTCCAAAAGCCTTCTCACAACTTCCTCCCAGCTTTCGATCATTCCATGCCTCACCACAACCTCGATCTCTCGATTCCGTATTAATAGCGACGCATGGAGTTCTAGAAGGATTGCACTCTTTTACTGGCCTGCCATGGGCTTATACTTTACCTCTTACTGCTTTAGCTATCCGGACCATCCTCATCCTCCCGATTGGTATAAACTCACGACGAGCTGCGCAGAAACAGATGGACCTAATGCCCCTCATGAACGCATGGCAGCATCAATTCAGAAAACAATCAATACAAGAGGTTGGTCACTTGGGACCGGATGCGGCGAATCAGTTTGTTAAAGATAAAATGAAAAAGAAGAAGAAGGAACTCTATTCTAGATACAGTTGTGGTACTTGGAAACACTACCTGCCCTTTGTACAATTACCTATTTGGATGGTCGCTGTAGAGACGATTCGAAAAATGTGCGGCGCACACGATGGATTATTGAAATGGATTGAATCGCTGTTCATATCGACTAATGCAAATGAGTCTGTAGCTACTACGGACCTGGACCTGGGTTCTCTACTATTAGAACCATCCTTCGCGACAGAAGGAGCATTATGGTTTCCCAATCTTCTCATTTCCGATCCAATGTTGATACTTCCTTTCATGCTCTCCGGATCTATCCTATTGAATCTCAGTGGCCAGGGAAGACCTAAAACTGTATTCATGAGAAGATTAATGAACTCGTTGAAGATCGTGGCTCTTGCGATTATCCCACTTACATTGCAGATGCCGAGTGCAATGTTGGTGTATTGGACATCTTCCTCTTTGCTGGCTTATGGACAAGCCAAAATACTGGACGTTTTGATGCCAATTAGAAAACCTGCAGTACCTTGTAAAGGGGGTCAACCTGTTAGATATGCAGGTACCAGGGAAAGTTGAAGATAGAGGACGATTGCTTGGAACAATAAGCAGTAAAGATCTAGATGATTGATATACCCTGCGACTCACAGTGGGTGAGGAATGAATAATGATGATAGGCTTTAGTACAACATTTCTGGTTTTCCCGTCTTGTCATACTGATACAGTAAGGTCAAGTTGAATTAATTGGATTCCCTCATGTAAACTCCTCAGCCTTTTAGTCAAAAATTCCAACAATGATAAATCGCAAAGGAATCTGTACTGTGCTATATTGCTCACCCTTGTTCTGCAAACACGCTTGTGCACGCTAGATTACCAATTAACATTGATTTTCAACGCGTCCTGAAAAGTCGCGTAAAGTGTTCCTTCTTAAAAACATTCGGATCCATTCTCATTCTCATAAACTCTTCGTTTTTCCTCTCAAGAACAATTCCCTCCAACACTTCAATCTACAATACATTCCCCTCCTTTTTTTTTCCAAAGGGAATTGATTGAGAAGTTGACTGTGAACAAATCGGTTAATTATTTCTAATTTAAGAGTGGTTTGCTTTCCACTTCTCTTTTCTTTCACTGCCTGGTTTCATCAACCCCTCCAAATTCAGAACGAATTCACCAAAGTTTACTGCCGCCACCATGTACGTCTATAAGAGAGGTATGTATATCAATCTAAACTGCTACTTTTTCGCTGTACTCATCATATCTAGATGGCCGTAAGGAACGCGTTCAATTCGATAAGATCACAGCTCGTGTATCAAGATTGTGTTATGCTCTCGATCCTGATCACATCGATGCCGCTGCCATTACTCAAAAAGTCATTTCTGGTGTCTATCAAGGTGTAACAACCATTGAACTTGACAACCTCGTAAGTTAACCTTTACAAGCGCGCTGAAACTGCTCCTCTTTCCAGTATAGTCTGCTAACTTTCTGCAAAGGCCGCAGAGACAGCTGCATATATGACAGTCACCCATCCCGATTATGCCATTCTAGCTGCTCGTATTGCAGTATCAAACCTCCACAAACAAACCAAGAAACAATTCTCCCACGTTATCCGCGATTTATACCAATACACAAACCCAAAAAATGGCAAAGCATCTCCTATGATTAGCAAGGAAACTTTCGAATGCGTCATGAGACATGAGGAAGAACTCAACTCTGCTATTGTCTACGACCGAGATTTCAACTACCAATACTTCGGATTTAAGACCCTTGAGCGATCATATCTTTTACGTCTCGATGGCAAAGTTGCGGAACGTCCTCAACAAATGATCATGCGTGTTGCCGTTGGTATTCACGGTAATGATATCGAAAGTGCTATCGAAACATACAACTTGATGTCAAACAAGTACTTTACACATGCTTCCCCAACACTCTTTTCTGCCGGTACTCCACAAGCACAACTTTCGTCGTGCTTCCTCATCGACATGAAGGAGGACAGTATTGATGGTATCTATGATACTTTGAAGATTTGTGCCATGATCTCAAAGAATGCCGGTGGTATTGGTCTCAACATTCACAGAATCCGTGCTACTGGTGCATACATCGCCGGTACCAATGGAAATTCCAATGGTATTGTTCCTATGCTTCGAGTTTTCAACAACACTGCCAGATATGTTGATCAAGGTGGTAACAAACGCCCCGGTGCTTTTGCTGTTTACCTTGAGCCATGGCATGCCGATGTTTTCGAGTTTCTTGATCTACGCAAGAACCATGGTAAGGAAGAAGTTCGTGCACGCGATCTCTTTTATGCCTTGTGGATTCCTGATTTGTTCATGAAGCGTGTTGAAAAGAATGGAGAATGGACTCTTATGTGCCCCAATGAATGCCCTGGTTTGGCAGATGTTTATGGTGAGGAGTTTGAGGCCCTCTATGAGAGTTATGAAAAGGCAGGAAAGGGTCGCAAGACTATCAAGGCTCAAAAGCTTTGGTACTCTATCCTTGAGGCTCAAACCGAGACCGGAAATCCTTTCATGCTTTACAAAGATGCATGCAACAAAAAGAGCAACCAAAAGAACCTTGGTACTATTCGCAGCTCCAACTTGTGCACAGAGATCGTCGAGTACTCTGCACCAGATGAGGTTGCTTGCTGTAACTTGGCTTCTATTGCTCTACCAACTTTCGTCAACATGAATGAGGGAACCTATGATTTCCAAAAGCTTCACGAGGTTGTCCAAGTTGTCGTTAGAAACTTGAACAAGATCATTGATATCAACTATTATCCCGTACAAGAAGCTAGAAAGAGCAATTTCCGTCATCGACCTATCGCTGTTGGTGTTCAAGGTCTCGCTGATGCTTTCTTGGCTCTTCGTCTTCCATTTGACTCACCAGAAGCCAAGCACCTTAATATCCAAATTTTCGAGACCATCTACCACGCTGCCTTGACCTCATCTGTCGAAATTGCAAAGGAACTTGGCCCATACGAAACTTATCAAGGCTCCCCAGTCTCCAAGGGTGAACTCCAATATGATATGTGGGGCGTCACTCCCTCTGATTTGTGGGATTGGGACTCTCTAAAGCAGTCCATCAAACAACACGGAATTCGCAACTCTCTACTTGTTGCACCCATGCCTACTGCTAGTACTTCACAAATTCTCGGTTTCAACGAATGCTTCGAACCATACACTTCAAATATTTACTCACGTCGTGTCCTGGCTGGAGAATTCCAAGTTGTTAACCCATGGCTCCTCAAAGACCTGGTTGATATGGGTCTCTGGTCTGACAACATGAAGAATCGTATCATTGCTGATGGTGGATCCATTCAAAATATTCCTAACATTCCAGCTGACATTAAGGCCCTTTACAAGACTGTTTGGGAAATTTCTCAACGAACAATTGTTCAAATGGCTGCTGATCGTGGTGCATTTATCGATCAATCTCAATCAATGAACATTCACATGAAGGATCCTACAATGGGCAAGATCACATCTATGCATTTCGCTGGATGGAAATTGGGTTTGAAGACTGGAATGTATTATTTACGTACCATGGCTGCCTCAGCACCTATTCAATTCACCGTTGATCAAGAAGCTCTACTTGTAGCTGATACCAATGTCGCTCGAGAACGTACTATGAAGAAGCGAACTCTGCCATCTTCTGGTTATGTTTCAAGCGCCTCTTCAATTGGTGGTGGTGGTCCAAAGCCTATGTATGCTGGTAAATCATCGACATCTCTTAGTAGTGCACCAAAGGATGTACCAACACCTAGCATTACACCTCCTCCTGCACCAGCTAAGGAGACACACACACCAATTGCTAAGACTCCTTTCAAAGCTGATGTGGAGGAAGGTGATAGTCCTAAGGCACTCGCTACAGATCCTACTGGTGCAGTTCCTAAGGATGAAGAATTACTTGAGTCAAGTGTTGAGAAGAAAAATCAGGATGAGGATGAAGGCAAAGATAGTACTAATCGAGAGTATGATATTTATGCCGATGCCAAGTTGCAATGTAAGTTTCTATGTCTCTGCATTATCACCAAAAACATTACTAATAGTCATACAGGTAGCATTGATAACAAAGAGGAGTGTATGATGTGCAGTGGATAGAATAGAGGAGTCTAGCTCACGCTTTAATGCTTTTTGGGTTTTGGGTTAAATAAGGCGTTGATTTATTGATTGATTGGCATTTTTTATGGAAATGGGTAGGGATGGTTGGATGGATGGATGAATGAATGGATAAATAATATGATTATTATGTAGGTACTGAATCGATGTTGTATGAATGATTAAGGGCAAAGGGAAAGAGCTCAAGTCTTGAGGAATACATACAATTATGAAATCTTCTTGTATACTCCTTGTAGTCTTTTATGCCGTTCTCGAGGCGATTTCGTCTTTATTTTTGGGATATCCGTTTGAGGGAAGATATGTTATATAAATCCAATGATAGATGGATGGATGATAATGAATATAATCTTATCTCATCTTCACTATCTATCATCCATCCTATATCCCTCTCGCGCCCAAATCCACCCCACATCCTCGCGAATCACAAGCTTTCCTCCCTCTATTTATTGCACAACGAAACTCCTCAATAAACACACAACAGAAAAAATCATATCTATACCCCATATCTAGTACTTTTATATAGGTAGGACATCCATGGTCTATCAAATTCTATACTCGAAAGGAATGTCAAGCTAGAGATCTAGATCCAGGGTCTTGTTTTGAGATGTGGGCCAGGGCTAGCATAAATAGATGAGTGTAAACACGGCAATTGAAAAGAATTATGTATAGAGTGACTAAACCCAATGTCCTTCCACCTACTTCCATCAAAACGATCACATCACAATCACACCATACAATATTTCAAAAACACATTCAAATAGTATTAACCGTCATTTTTTTTCTACCTAGGTATTATTACAGTTCATAATTCGTACCATCGATCATGCATAAAAGCATAACGAGTACCATTTGTCTGTTCATCCCATCCTCATTCCCATTTCCATTCATGATCCTACCACCATTAAACCATCCCATTAACATCCACCAATTACCCCAAATAGTTACTACCATGTCTATGGCGTCATGTGCATAATATCATATGTATGACCTGAAAAAATCCCATCCATACCTATCATCAAATGCATCCATCCTTCGTGAAAGTCGTCAAAAGTTAAAGAAAGAAATTGTAAAAAGTATGGTCAAGAATTGAAAAAGAGAAAAGATGGGTATCGTTGCAAGTTCAACCACTCAACTTCCATTACATCCACCTTCAGAAAACCTTTTTCCATATCAAAAAGATTGGAGAGAGATTTTGTTGAAGTTGTTTACAAAAGAAGAGCAGCAAGACCAGCAGCGGCCAATAAACCAGTTGCACCGGTTGGGAGAGCTGCCATACCGGATGAGGTTGAGGAGGTTGCAGCACTGCCAGCGGCAGAAGTTGCGGAAGAAGCTCTGCTGGAAGCAGATGAAGCCCGGCTTGCACCACTTGAAGTTGCGGCAGATGCGACAGAGGAAGCAGAAGATTCGAGGGAAGAAATAGCAGCAGATGCACTGGAGGAGATTTCAGAAGCGGAAGAAGCAGCAGCAGAGGATGCGCTAGCAGCAACAGAGGATGCGCTGGAAGCAGCTCCACCACCGAAAATGGTAGTAGATCCTACAGTGGTCTCAAAAGTGGAAGATCCACTGGTGACAGTTGAAACAATATCAGATGTGGTGATAGCGGATGATCCATCAGTTGGGCTTGGAGTGCTGTAGATAGTGGAAGATCCAACGGTAGTTTCAAAGGTAGATCCATCACTGGTAGCGGTAGAGACAACTGCTTCGGTGGAGATTGGAGTAGATGATACAATGCCAACACCTCCAGAGCCGTAAATTGTAGTGGAACCAACGGTACTTGTGAGTGTCTCAGAACCAGAAGTGATGGTTGCGAGGAGGGCAGAAGTTGTGATGGCAGAGGAACTGGCAGCGGAACTGGCAGCGGAACTGGCAGAGGAACTAGCAGAAGAACTGGCAGCAGCCTATTGAATCAAGTTAGTGAATTTTCTTTTCTATTCACTTAGGGTGATGTCATCGCAACTCATGAATTGCATGCGTATTTTCTTTGTGGTAGAAAATACTCAGGGAATGAATAAACACTTGAGAAGCCGCAAATAGAAATTGACGTCATGCCATAGAAAAAGAATAAATAAATGAAAAAACTTACGGAAGAACCAGCTGCACCACTGCTTGGGGCAGAGGAAGAACTGACGGTGGAGGTGGCCAAAGTAGTAGCTGAAGCGCCGGTAGCGGTAGCAGATGCAGCTTTAAATTGTTAGCAATAGATCCAATTGAAGTTTGCGATAGTGAACATACATGCGCAGTAGAGCAGACCATAGGAAATGACACTGGCGGCGGCATCGGCACCACAAGCCTCATTGGAGCAGTCACGGATACCATAGGCAAAGTCTGGTTTGGTGCAAAGACAAGCAGCATCAGCAGAGCCGCAGCCAAGAGCTGGTGCCAAGGAGAGCATGTTGTTGATACAGGTTTGCTGTTGAGAAGAAATAATTAGTCATTGAAACATTGTCTAGTTAATGATGGCGACGATGTGAATTCGATGTGAATTCATTGTGAATCCATAAGAAAGAGTCAAATACTTACACCACATGATGGAAGGTCGGAGATGGATTGTTGAGCGACAGAAGCAGCAGTGAAAGCGCTGATGGCGAGGATAACTGAGGACTTCATGTTGACTATTGTGATTTTTGAAGAAATATACTTCCTAAATTATTATGATAGATTGAGAGACCTGGTCTATTGAACAGATTTTGATGATTGAGATGTTGATATTAAAAGGTTGGAGAATTAATTGAGGTTGGATGTAGGATTGTCTGTCTTTGTTATGAGAAGTGAAATTAAGTTGAATACAAGTCGGGGTGGAGGTGAACCTTAATATACCTAGGTAGTAAAGTAATTAGCAAACGGGGAAAGACCATTTGAGAAAGTGAAGTCAGAGTGAAAATTGAAGCTTGTATGAGTGAAGCTTGATTTTTCTTGCTTGGCCTAGGAAAAATATGACTAGGCGACTAGAACTAGAGTAGCTTGGACGGGAAAGAGTGACGAGGGGAAAGGGCAAAACCATGATGAGCAGGGAAGCTAAGGTAAGGTACCCAATTTACTATCCAGAAGCCATCAAATTGATTACCCACCCATCTACTTGTTTACCATCTACCATTATCTAATTCATTTGGATTAATGTACACTACACTCTCTTGTCCAAAACAGATTCTTTCGCATTGAATAGGTGCGAAGAGATGGGAATCATGAGACAGACATAGACATACATGTACGGAGTAGAGACTTACCAGAGTAACATCCAATCAAAGTTGTACAACCACATCTAATTTCAATCATATCAACCTAAATGATTTCAATATTTAACTGCTTGGTACCTCCTACGTTGTGCTCCTCTCATGTACCATCAATCACACTCAATACACACCTGCTCAATTGATTTGTTGCCTTGATGGGATTAGCTCGATGCATTTCCTGATTTGAATATCTGAATATCTGAACATCCGCACATCACATCCCGTACACCCATCCCGTACACCCATCCCTATGGAAATCCCAACAAGTAGCTAGCTTCGTCTGCCAACATGTCCGTCGATGTTGGCCATTTCTCTTTTCCCAAAAAGTTGGAAAGCCTTCACCGATTTGTGACTTTTCAGCTGTGCATCATCTGTTCTGATTGGACTAGTAGATGTGTCTTTACTTCATTCATCATAGATTCATACATAGCACAGAAGTGGAGGATGCCAGCCACGAATTCGATAGAAAGATGGCTGGGAAAGAAAAAGGTTACGGTAATTCTGGACTTCTTGAGCTGTTGTCCAACTTTCTCTCGCTTGCAGATATTGGGTGCATAGTACAGTACATACATACTACATGCATAAATTACATAGACATGGATGGTTACGGAGTACACCTCAACCAAGAAATCAATCGATTGTTTACAAGGTCTCCCAGCTTTCTATGCAGGTGAAGTTGAAAAGAACCTTTTCATTTTTGGATGGTGTGTTTATCTACTTCTGACATCACGGACCGGTGTGGCTGATATTGGCGATACTGCCTGCATCGACATATTGACCAAATAATCAAAGGTGTTCTTTTCAGGCCCCTCCTAACATATGATATGCCTCTCCGAGTCTCCCCAGATCTCCCATTTTCAATCTCGTAAGCTTCTCGATCTCCGACCCTTATTCTCATATCTTTCATATCTTACCAGGGTTGCTACACAGATGATTTTCTCTTTCCATCAACATTAACATACCTAGTAGTACATACACACACACATACAGAATACAAAACATCATGACTAACACAACACCGTCAAGATCAGGTTTCCTATGCTTCGTTGGCAAATAAAAGTGGAACATATGACATTTCACTCGATTTCTCTCTTTCATCATTTTGTCAATGAGTCGACAAAGATCAGGTTGGGTTCACTAACCACATGGAAAAACAAACCCAATTGTTTTCAAAGTCTCTTTATGATTGTGACGTCCATCTACATTGAAAGCTTCAAACAAGATCTTCTATCAAAACTTCGATTTTGTCATTATCCAAGCTTCACTACTAACTACCCACTTAAAAGTCTTAATCCAAGGCCCAGGGTCCACAGAGAGGCTGGGTAGCGGGCAGGGCGATATGCATTTCCTATCTAATAGACCAACTAGTCTGTGCTGTTCACTGAACTAAAATCAAGGAAGGTTACGGCGATTCAGTATTAGACCAATACCATTGGTTCTGACAAACAAATAACACAAGTTCCCCAGGAAACCAAGGATAAATCCTTGCACATTGAGCAAAATGGTTCTGATGTCCTTGTTGAGCTGAATACCAAGATGTTGATGGGATTTTTTGATGGAAGCTTTCAAGAGCTTCTATCATGCAGGTAAAATTTGAATTATGTCGAGTATTCGGCGAGGGTAATGGAGAGGTTGAGTTGAATTCATGATGACTGATGACTGATGACTGATGACTGATATGCAAAATATATCTGGATTTTGTAAGATCTTATGATGAAGCAAAAGCGTATCTTCATCGGCCTGGATGAATGAATACAAATTAAAGACAGAGAAGAGAAGTTGTCCCGCTACCTCATTTCCCCTCAAATTTGAACCTCCTTCATTTCATCAGACCTAAGCGCATCTCACAATCTCTCGGGCCTCTCCTTTATCACAATGAACCATGAAATCTATCCAACCATCACCAAAGTTCAACGCTATTGAATAGCCCTTAAAATTTCCACTTCTCCACGGAGGAGAGCCTTTCGATTATCGCCTTTCGATTATCTCCTCCCACTCTTCGTGCCCTGTGGCCGGTAATTAAAAACTTTATCAAAGCTCTTTCATCAATTATTCAGGTCAGCAAGGATCAGCTATTTGGCATTTCTCCATGGTGTGAAGCTTATTATTATATTTCTCTTCTTCCTGCCCCTCCAGTTTCTCATCATTTTTCCCTAGATATGATATTCACATTTTCCAAATGAGTACGTATGGAGTACAGCCTCATTTAATCCACCGAAATTTCATTTTGAATCTATCCCCCATTACACCCTACACCTTGTCACCCTGAACCTAGATAACGGTAACGCCGCGGCAAGTAACCGGAAGACGGGTCCCCGAGACAATTCTCTAGATTCTCAGCTCGGGTGGTAACCCGAACGTGATCATCACATGTCTTCTTACTTGTGTCCCGCGCACAAAGAAAGAAGCATTTGAGTTATGGAGCAGAAAGCGAAAATCCAGAGCTCAATTATTACAAATTTTCACATAAGACTCATGGTCTCGGTACATGGGAATATGATATGCTGCTGATCCATTTTATCTGCACCTGCACTTGCTACTTATTACTTGAAACCTCATATGCGCAAAATCGTCGGGCCACGAGCCCACGACACTTTACTGTATTGAATTTCGGATGAATCCGACTCGATTCAGTTCTATACTTCAGATACTAATACACCGCCTTTCTTAGTACAAAACAATCGATGGATCGTAAAGTGATGTGGCATTTCAAGAATCCATAGGTATTAGGGACCCTCCAAATTCGATCTTTTAGGGCTGCTCAGTGCTCGGTCATTGAAGATTTCGATAATGGATAATGGCAGTGGAGACGTGCAATACCGGTATCTTCCTTGCCAGCGCAACTGAGCTCAAGTCTGGTTTCTTCGCCGTTCTTGCGTCAAAAGTTTTACTTCCATTCCATTCCCGCTGCAAAGATTTAATTCGATTCTGTTCACAAAATGATCCGGCCTTTCAGTCATACTATGATACTTCATTCGATCAATAGTTGCTCCGTGAAGGTCCTAGCTATGATCTAGATATGTCATCACATGACACATGGTCCATGGACTATTACAATTTTCTGGATCTTCTAAGTTCTAACCGAAGTTCAAGCTCAAGCTCCAGCTCCATCTAGCCCATTCCAAGCGGAAGTGGATCCATAATTTTTACTTGGTCCGCTCCACCCCTTGCGCTATCTTCCAAATTTTAGTTTGCCTCGTTTTCTTCTTTTCTTCATTTCTTCATCGTTCTTAGATCTTACGGCCCCGTGGGTGATTTTAATGGATGACAATCGATAGCTGATACCACCCAATCATTCGGGACCGAGAGGGATGTCTTTTTTTGCTCTTCATATCACAGTCCTAGAGGCACATGAATGATGAATGGCTTGGATTTTATGGATTATGGGTTTTATGAGCAATTACATTCAACACGTCTATGTGCAAGTTCGGATGTTTATATTCTTGGTATAAAAAGACTTATAATATTTGAATGTATAAACATTTTGTAGCAATTGAGGCCTATGTCTCATCCCGAAGTCGGCAAGCTATATGGGATGAACGTGTGTACCTTTTAACATTTCCATAGTCACAAGCACTAAAAATCTCTAATTTATCGACCTCTTGTCTGAGCTCCACGCCGTTTACCTCCAGCCAACCAATAAATGAATTCTTCCAAAATTACCTAAGCAATTCTTTCGATCCCCACCAGATTTTCCACCCCACCAAAAAATCATCCTCTCACAAACACCCCCGTCAACACCACCACCAAAAAAAAATATAAGACACAAGATGAAAATGACGCAAAGACAAACTTCAAAAAGTGAAACTGTGGCGGTGCTGGGAATCGAACCCAGATTGAAGCGGAATTGTTGAGCTTGTAAAGGCTCATCTTCGTGAAGACCCTTGAGAGGAGAAACCACAACACCACGTGCTACCATTACACCACACCACCTTGTTATTGGATGTTTTTGTTGGGTCTGGGGGGTAGAATCTAGGTTATATTCAGATGGTGAAAAGGGGTTCATTTGCGGATGGTAGGGGACTTTGCGGAGAGAGGCATTCAAGTGTGCTGTGGATGAAACGATTAGCTTATGTATAAGATCGTCCTCGTCGGTGCTATATATTTCAAACGTGTCTCCTCCTCCTCCTCCTCATCACCATCATTAGAGCATTCCTATCCATCATAGCCGACTTCTTCGGGACTCTACTATTGATTCTTACAAGCTGATCATCCCTTCCCATCAATACTTTCTCAATCTTCATTCTCAGTCATTCACTTCTCTACTATGTTCAAGTTCTTTCTTTTTATTCGGGCTCTCGAGTCTTGCCTCTCCATTGTTTTATACTACGGATGGATGTCTTTCAAGCTATAGCTATAGCTATCCCAAAAGCATCATCCATATGTAAGCTTCCATACATTACCTCATAATGAGGCATAATATCCTATCCAAGGTCATGATCCTTTACCATAACGGGGATCCAGATCCGATTATTTTGTATTATATACAGTACCCTCGAATCTCATCAGATCCTTGCCTTTGTATTTCCATCCTAGCGGATAGATACAATTTATATCCTGTCCATAATACATCTATTCTCTACATAATCCAAAAATACATCTTAATCATTCAATTTCAATCCTGTTTTTCCTTCTCCTTCTCC